GGCGACGCCATTGCACGTGGCCGCCTTGATTTGGTTGAGGAACTCCCGCTTGAGCGGGTCCGCCACCGTCGCCAGAACGTACCCTTGCCTACAGATCAGATTGACGCACACGCATCGAGGCGCGTTCATCAGCACACCGCACACGGCATATCGCACACGCACACGCACACAATACATATCAGCTACATGGGGGGTGAAGAGCGCACTTGTTGGCTGTGTCGATGGCATCGGCGTCCAACTGGGTCCAGCCGAGAAAGTCCAGGAGCGCCTTGGCGTCGTCGCAATTGGTCATGGTCTGCTGTCGATAGACGATGGAGGCGAACGAGGCCAACGGCCAGGTGTCGGCTCCACCACCTGTGTCGCAAAGCAACGCATCAGATGAGTCGCATTGTAACGAGACTATGGGGCCGAGGTACCGTTGAGAAGCGAAGCGTAGGTGAGCCCTGGGGAGGTGTCGCTCCTTTTCGCCAGCGGGGTCTCGGGCACGCTGGCCGCTCCGTAGGCCGAGGAAAAGTCGTTGATTGCGCTCTGCACGCTCTCCAGCGAGGGCTTCACCGCCTTGTTGGCCCGGTTGAACAACGACGCGACGCCCAGGGTGCGTGTCTGCCAACCAATCACCAGCAAAGGTCAGGTCAACACACGACACACGACACACATGACACTCAGAGAACAAGGTAGCCCACCTGACGGACATTGTAGAGCGACCATATGCCAAACGAGTAGCTGGTCGCTTGCAGATGGTCGATGAAGTCGTCTTCGCTCGAAGCCCGGAGAACGTTGGTCACGGGGAACGTGACGCCGCTGCCCACTCCAACCTGGAATGTTCAGTCCACACATTCTCAAGTGATGAGAATTCCACTGCAACCAAAGTGTTAAATAGGAGCTAAAAAATAGCGTACCGCGGACCCCCACCATGGGACTGTGGCGTTGAGCCAGCGGGTGTAGGTGGTCTGCACGGACGTCACGTTCTCCAACACGACCGTGATGGGCTGCGCGGGCAGGAGCCCGGCGACTTCGCCCAGGTTGATGGCCTGGATGCGCGAATCGTTCCACACCGTGATCTCGTTGGTCAGAATCTGCGCGATGACCTCCGCACTGAGCACCAGGCTCTTTCCGGCCAGCTCGGGCATGTTGTACGCTTGAGGGAGGGAGTGGGTCGGGTCAATTTGTTGTCGACGCAGCCAAAAGCAGACCACGTGGGTCGAAGAGGGACGCTGAACCTGGGACCAGGGGGAATGCGGCGAGCGGCAGCACGGCGGCGTCGGCGACGGACTCCCGCCAACCGGAGGCGCCCGCGTCAGCAGGCAGGCCGAAGTCGACGTTTTTGTCGGTCAGCTGCTGCTGGGCGGTGGCGGCCGAGGTCTGGTAGAACTTGAGCTTGTACTGGTTGGTCGACCAGGAGGTGGCCCAGGAGTTGATCAGCGTGAGCTGCCCGCCGGTGCCGACCAGGACCGACGACGAGAACGCCTTCTTCCCGTTGCAGCGCACGCCGTTGAGCAGCACCAGGAGCTGCTTTCGCAGACTTACATCCAGCGGCGCCACCAGATTCTCCTCCGCAGCATTCGACGCTCTGTAGCGCAAGTGTGAGCACACATTCATGTGTGCGTGTGCTTGTGCGTGCGTTGTGCGCTGGTGGCTCGTGTCGTGTGTGTCGCGCCGTGTCGTGTCGTGTGGGAGCGCGAGTAAGACAGCGTACTCGTCGTTGGTGTGAATCCAGGCGACAAAGTCGAGGAGCTCGCCCACGTTGGAGCAGTCGTCGGTGGTCTGGTTCTGTCGCATGGCAAAGAAGGTGAGATAGGCCATCGGCCACGAGCCTGCCCCGGGGGCGTCGAAGATGTCGATCCCGAACCGGCCCGCCGCGTAGTCCTGCTGGTAGTCGGTCATGGCCGACTGGAGCGACGCCACGCTGAGCTCGACCAGTCGGCCGGCCTTGTTGTACATCCGGGCCAAGTTGACCGACGACGCCGTCGCATTCGTCGTCGAGGCGGTGAGGCCGCCGGCAAAGTTGAGCCAGGTCAGTGAGTTCACAGTTTTCTGCGCACACGCACACGCACGCAAACACAACACGACACGAGTCATGAGCGATTGGTCAGTGGTTATAGTGCTGACATCAGCACTTTGAGAGGGAGGGAGAGCACCTGGAGCCAGGTGATACGAGAGGCCGACGAACCGCCGACACGCACGGCGAAGCCATTGAGGGCCGGGGGCAGCAGGGCGAAGGTGCGGTTGGCCGCGGCGAATACCTCGCGGAACTCCTCGCTGAAGCTCTCGAGGGTGAGCTTGAACACCTCGGTGAAGGTCAGGACCTTGGTCGTGTCGTTGGAGTAGCCCAGGCGGATCGCGTCGGGCGGCAGCTTGTGTGCGATGTCGGGGTTGAGCTCCTGGATGGCCGTGTCGTTCCACGCCGTGATCGAGCCCGCCCATATCGAGCCCAGCACCGTCCTATTCAAGATCTGCAAGCGCACCACAGTGCCAGTGAGTGTGGTGTCCGCGTGACCCAATCTTTTTTCAGCTTTTCCGATAGCTTGCTGTTTTCACGGTTTCTCGGCAACGAATTAACTGCGGTATATAGGAGGGAGATTGGGTCCATACCAGGGTGGGATCGGTTGCGCTGAGAGAGGGCAGGTTGTAGCCTATGACGATGCCCTGCCCGGCCAGCGGAAACTGAATGAAGTCTTCGTACGACAGGCCGCGCTCCGTAGCGACAAAGTCCTTTTGTGTGATTGTCGTTTTTGGGTGGTGAGCTTTTCAGACAGGCCTGAAGCTGCGGCCGCGGCAGAACGACAGTGTACCACAGTGCCCTGTTCGTATGAACGGAGTGCGCCGTTGGTGCCGCCTCCGTCATAGCTTATCCTGCGCACGCGCACGGTGTGTTGTCAGCCGGCCGCGCACAGTCGACGGGCTATTGAGCAACATAAAAAGAACGAGGCCCATCGCGAAGAAAAGAACGAAGAAGAAGGAGGATGGGGCAAAGAAAGAAAGCGACGCACTGGACGACGTCGCGATAGAAGCGGTAGTCCTTGACCCACACGTCGTAGATGGCTCCCGACTGCGAGCTGCCCGAGCCCTTCAGCTGGACCGTGCTCTTCGAGTGCACCCAGCCTGGAAGCAACCCATCAATTAGCAGATATTCGCCCTGGAGCGGACCGAAGGAGGAGGCAGGTACCCGTCCAAAGGGCAAAGAGCACGAAGAGAGCCAGGGCACAGCGAACCGGGCTCCTCATCTTCAGCGTTGGCGTGTTGTTGTGGTTTGTGTTCTGCTTGGCCAGGAGTGCTCCGAAGTGGGTTCTCATTGCCTCGCGGAACCAGACCGAGGTTGTCAGTAGCTGATGATTGGTCACACCGGTTTACTATTTCCTGTTCGAGGTTCCCGCGTATTGGCCACCGATATATCCGACCAACCAGGATATGTTGTCCAGCTATTGATTTAGTAAAATTTATTTATAGTTTCAAATGGAGGATATAGTTTCGAATTTACCCCACGAACACAACATTTGGTCGTGTTCTGTGTCGCGGTTGCGTGTCCCTCCGTGACAGACATGGTTGTTTTTGGTGTCTGTGTCTACATCAACGTTTCATAGGCGGCGTACTCGTCGTCTTGCACATACACGGGGATCGCGTCGTAGTCCATCTTGTTGGTGGATTCCTTGTGGAACACTGCACACTCACACCAGACGTGCAGTGGAGTGTAAGCGGGGAGCAAGAGACGAAGCTTGCGGGTGGCACGCATCCGGTACGATCGTACCTTCCAGAAGGCCCTTGCCAAAATTTCGAATGACAAAACAGCTCAAGATGACCAGCACCACCCGACAGATGAGCGCAAACGTGCCTGCATGAGGCACATTGACGCAGCGCAGCGCAACACGCAAGGGAAGTCCACATTAGTGGCGTTGTATGACGAGTGTGTGTTAGAGAAGAAGGGGAGGTACCAAACACGATGACCGGCGGGACCTCATCGCTCGCAAATCGGTCTGGTTGGGTGACCGACGCAACGATGTACTTGACGATGATGTAGATCGGCTCCACTGGGGCGAACGCGAAGAAGCCCAGCATCACCCTGAAGTTCTCTCGACGAACCTGCAGGCGGCGATCACCCTCCAATGAGACAAAGATCATCACTTCGCCACGGATCGCGTGCATGCATAGGCGCGTACGCCGTAGACGGTGGTGATGACGGCCCATATGATGCTCGCAACCACCAACGCTACGTCGACGATGATGTTGGCTCCTCGGAGAAGGAACTGGAAAGGGAAAGGCGCGGGTGAGCGGGCTCGAAGAAGAAGAAAAACGCTGCGTTGGGTCCAACGAGAGGCGACTGGCGGAGATGATAGTAGGTACCATGCCCAGCATCAGGACACCAACAAGCGTCAGGAAGATGTCCATCTTGAGAAGTGACACGAATGTTTGGTAGACTTTGTACGCATCTGATGTTTGAATTGCGGGAATGTCAGTGGTCGAGCGGGCCGTGAAGATCCGACTGCGTGTGCGCACACGCACGACACACGACACGCACACTCACACGACATTCGACACTCATATACGCACACGCACGCACACCAGAGAGCGAGTGAGTCAGGCCCTACGTACTAACAAGCTTCTTGTCGGAGCCTATTCGCTTGAAGACCCGCCTGCAGGTTATGATCGTGAGAGGGAAGAAAAGAAGCAGCAGAGCAGCGCAGCCAAAAAAGGAGTGAGAACGGTGTACCATCCAAAGGAGTTGTAGACCAGGATGGCCAGCACAATATTGGCCAGGGCGAACAGGATGATGAAGGACAACCTGCAGACACATTCAGAGCAACGCATGAGTGCGTGCAGTGTAGGTGGGGTGTAGTGCGCGCCCGCGGGCATTATGCGACGTGTTGGCGCGTGAAGAGATCTGCGAGCAGGAGCGAAGGAGATGAGGGTGATGAGGCTGAGAAGAAGAAGTACCGAATGTAGAACACAGGGTGCCGGTCCTCGATGAGAAAGCCAGCAAACGCAAAGAGAAGCAAAAGAATAGAGCCGCCCACGAAGGAGAAGAGCTCGAGCGTGTTCTCGAAGAGGATGCCGTCCACGCCAAAGTAGCCTGGGATAAGGTGAACGGAAACACCGTCAACTCGAGCTGCGTGCTGCCAACCTTGCAGGGGTGCGAGTACCAATAAAGAGGCTCATGATTATGAACAGGAAACCGCGCTTCATGGTGTCTTCGTTGCCATTTGCCATGCGCTCAATGGAGAAGCAGATGATTATCAAAACTTGGATAACAATCAAGAGCAGGTAGAGTTGGGAGCGACGCCGCAACTGGACCTAAGATTGGGAACAAAAACCAGATTAATCGAGTTTTAATGAGATGATGGGAGGAAGGATGAATCTTGGAGGCGCGCGGAGATCATCTTACCCCGCCCAAGCTGGACAGGAAGAGGTACGACATCTTGCTGATTTGGTGTTTTGGATCAAGGTTTCTGTTTTTCCTATTTTTTTTCAACCCAAAAATGCAAAGAATGTAACTCCATGGTGTGTGGCCACAAAAATCACAACAGCTGACCAAATCATACTAATGTGACATACTCTCCACCCTCAAGAGTTGTGTGACCCAACTACTAACCTGGTGTACAAGCTGAATGTATGAGGAAGTTCAGTGTCTGTTCTGTGTGCCCAAAAGTTGGAAATTTCCCTCTCCCACAGTGTGCCCTGAAGAATGTAAAAGACAGCCACACCAAACAGAAACAGCTAACAGGTGAGGCCCCATGTCATTCACAACAGCTGTTTGCACCCCATGCAAGAAAAAGAATAAAGATGTATTTGTATTGCCCAACCCTGTATGGGTGGACAAACACAATCCATGGGTGGCAGCTCATCCTTGCCTCAACCTCAACTCATACCCAACAGCAACAGGGCCTTATGCAAACTTCCTCTATCTGCTGGGAAGCCACTCTGCAGCCACAGGGGGACTTAGCCCTGTGTTCATTGGCTTTCCTTGTGCTTGTCTACAAAATGTCCCACAAGAAATAAAAATTATGTGGCCGTTGGTGGCCGTTGGAGAAAGTGAAGCAAATCAGTATTGATCCAAGTTACAGCACCCAACACTACGCAGCAGATGTCTTCGCGAAAGAAGGCCAGCAAGAAGGCCGCAGAGAGCGACAGTGAGGGCCGACCCTCGCGGACGAAGAGGGCTCCCTCCAGGCTTGACCCCAGCAGCGATGCGGGCGAGCTGTCGGGCGGTGAGACGCCGAGGCGTGGAGGGAGCAGGAGGAGAAGCGTGAGCGTCGAGCGCAAGAAGAGGAGGGGGCCGGGCAGGCCCAGGAAGACGGAATCTGCACGCTCGAAATCGCCAGCGAAGAAGAGGGTGACAGCTCACAAGCGCCGACGATCAGTCGATTTGGAGAGGGAGTACGAAGTCGAGCAGTTACTTGATCTGCAGCTCCTCGTAAAGTGGAAGGGCTATGCCAAGAGCAGCGCGACGTGGGAGCCGCTAAAGAATCTGCAGACGTGCGACGAGATGGTGGTGGACTACCTGGAGAAGGTGAAGCAAAAGCTGCTCGCCCAGATGGAGAGCAAGAGCTCGGAGGAAGAGACGAAGGAGGGAGAGGGCGAGAAGGAGAAGGAGGGGGAAGGCGTGGAGACTCCCAAGAGGAAGAGGGGCAGGCCACCGAAGAAGGCCAAGGTGACTGAGAAGGCAAGTGAAGAAGAGGTGGAAGACGAGAAGGAAGCGGACGAGTAAGAGCCAGGAAGAGATTGAGTGTGTCTGGGCGACAAGAAATAACCTCCACGCCGATGGGGGACGACATGTATGCGAGATTTGTTTATAAATTAAATTAAGCCACGACTCGCGGCTCGGTCTTGATCACGCAGTCACCTCCGTGCTTCTTGATTTCGGTTTGGATGGCCTCGACGGCCTTCTTGAGGAGGGCAACGCCGCGCTCGTGATCGGTGGACGAAGTGAGGAGGATGTACTCGGGAGACGTGACGAGCTGGATGCGGACGGGCGAATCGGGGGTGCTGCACTGCTGGCCGGCGCGGAGGGCAGGCTTGATGGCGTCGATGCCCTCGTAGGAGAAGCACGTCACCTGGATGTCGGCCTGGATCTTGACGGGCTGGCTGCCCAGGCGATGCTGAATCGTCTTGAGGATGTTGTCCTTGATCTCGGCAGGAGCGTCGAGGCCCTCGAAGATGTCTTCGCCGGCGGCGGCCTTCTTGAATGCGTCGTAGGCATGGTTGTACGTCTCGTACAGAGGCCACCCGATGCGCTTGTACAGGTCCTCGAGAGTGAGGATGTTGTCGCCCGTCTGCAGCTCGGCGACGTGGGCCATGATGCTGTGTACGGTCTTCGACTTCTGGTACCGCTGAGTGCACTCGACGATGTCCTCCTCCTTGAGCAGCTTCTTCGAGAGATCGATGTAGCCCTTCTCCTTGTCCACCCTCAGCACTTGCAGCACCTCCTTCTTGCCCACTCGGATGTGCTTGTTGATCGAGCGCATGCGCCTCCTCGACAGCTCGGAGAGCAGAATGATGCCCTCCTTGTCGTTGTATTCGAGCAGCGATACGAAGGCGCCGATTTCGTTGATGCGATTGACGCGCACCATCACGAGATCGTCCAGCTCGGGGTACTCGGCCTCGTACATCCGGCACTTGCCGACCTTCTTCGCCACATCGGAGAGGGGAGCCACGGGGGCCTCTACGCCACCGGCCTGAGCATCAATCGCGCCTTCCATCTTCAGTTCTGATTCTCGAGCGGAGAGAAAACTGAAAATCTCTCGCTCTGCCAAAAATTACAGTTGGCCTGTCAGGAAAACATGAAGAAACGAAATAGGAACGCTTGTCTGGAAATTTCCAGACCTACGTCATGCGCCTCCTTAGCATGGATGACGTCAGCAGCCCTGTTGGGCGTTCAGGTGCGCCAGCAAGGGTGGTGTTGGCGTGCGTGGGCGCAGGCTGGCATTTCGAGGGTGTGATTCGCCAATTAGCCGACAAGAACAAACCCGCGTAGCGTAATCATCACATAATGGACTCCCGCTACTCCTTCTCGCTCACCACCTTCAGCCCTTCTGGCAAGCTAGTGCAGATCGAATACGCGCTCAACGCCGTGAACGCTGGTGCCACCGCTCTTGGTATCAAAGGTATAATGCCGCACTGCACTTCAGCTCAATCTCCATCTTATCGGTCTACCCACCTCTACAATACTGTTGCACCTGTTGGATCGAGTGCAAGGCATTAATTGATGATCTATCCACCCCCCCCCAAAGCCAAGGATGGCGTGGTGATGGCCACCGAGAAGAAGCTGCCTCCTCTCATGGATGACACTTCGATCCAGAAGATTAGCCTCCTCACGGACAACATCGGCGTCGTCTACGCTGGAATGGGACCTGATTCGCGTGTGCTCGTGCGCAAGGGACGCAAGATTGCCCAGCAGTACTTCAGGACCTATCACGCTCCCATCCCTGTGAATCAGCTCGTGCGAGAGCTCGCTGCTATCATGCAGGAGTTCACTCAATCTGGGTATGTTCCCCGTCTGTGCTCCTCATCTGCGATATTCGAGCGTGTAGCGCATACGCGTGCCATGCCTTCGAGTCGTGCACGTGGTCGCTCACTTTGTTCTCTTGCTGCCATGCAGTGGTGTGCGACCCTTCGGTGTCTCCCTCCTTATCGCCGGCTATGACGAAGTTGCTGGTGCTCAGCTGTACCAGGTGGATCCTTCGGGTTCGTATTGGGCGTGGAAGGCCTCGGCCATCGGCAAGGGCATGGTTAACGCCAGGACCTTTTTGGAGAAGCGGTATGCGTCCCGTTGTGCGTGCATGCGTGTGGTGTGTCACAGTGGGGGTTCTTGTTGCGTCGATGCTCATCTATGTGGTCTTGCGCATCAACAGCTACAAGGAAGATGTGGGTCTCGAAGATGCCGTCCACACGGCCATTCTGACGCTCAAGGAGGGATTCGAGGGTGAGATGACGGAGAACAACATCGAGCTGAGCGTGGTGCAGGTGATCGAAGGCAAGCCCGTCTTCAGAGTGCTCACGCCCGCCGAAGTCAAGGACTACCTCGGCGAAGTACAGTAAACACACACACACAACGACCATGCTCCCTCTTCTTCATCTCTTCTTCGCCTCCTTCTCCTTCTCCTTCTCCTTTCATGATCGATCATGCTGTCATGGTGTTCTACCCTTGTGAATAAGGAACAAGCCATTCCCACCACAACTATCCATGTTCTTCTTCATCGTCTTCTCTCAGTCTGAGAACCTTCTTCCTGTTTGAAAAGATGAGAACTTTTCGCGCACGACACGCAACCAACAGCCGCACACAACACACGACCAAAGCCAAAAAGGAAAGATGGAGCGACTTGGCGAGGCAGCTGCGCCACGACGAGGAGTGGTGTTGGAGGTGAAGGACATCTCTGCGCCGAAGGATGAGAAGGAGGATGAAGAGGAGGAGGAGGTGGACACGGTGGTGGAGGAGCTCAGAGGGCTGTCGCACCTCCGCATCAAGCCGCGGGTGGTCATCTCCGACGCCAAGCACAAGAAGACCACCGGTAGCCCGGCGGAAGTGGCGACCGTCGCGCCCGCAGCCGCCAGCAGCGGCATCATCGAACGTGGCCGTCTCTGCTCAGTGTACGCGACGCACTCTTAATCTCAATCTTATCAATTATCAATTTAATTTAATTAATTCTGATTATTATTTTAATTAATAATTAGGATTGTTTGATAAAGGTATACACACATTTTATTTATTTCAAATTTATTTGGTCTGCAGATGTGCCACCAAGTTCGGGCGCTACACGTGCCCGCGATGCAATGCCGCATCTTGCTCGCTTCCCTGCTACAAGGTATCTGCCCACCACAGTTGGGCTGGCGTTGATGTGCCACGCCGAGACGAGGTTGTGCTGATGCTCATGGTCGATCCCATCCTCCTCTCGGCGCGTCGCAGGCTCACAGCACCAAGTGCACGGAGGCCTTCTACAAGGACAGCGTTGAAGAGGAGCTCCGATCGCAGCGAGCCGACGAAGAGAGCCAAAAGCGCATGCTGCAGCTCCTCAAGCACATGAAGGACCAGGAGGACGAGGTCAACACACACCACACACACCACACACACACACACCACCACCACACACACCACACACCACACACAAAGGCAGCACTCCCCTTCCTTCAGCGTTGCCGCTTCTTCTCACATCTCGTGCTCTGTTTACAGGAGGAAGAAGACGAACACGAAGAAGAGGCCTACTACCGACTTGCACAGCTCAGCACAGGTACGCGCGTGTCGTGTGTGTTGTGTGTCGTGTGTTGTGTGTTGTGTGTGTCAATCGCTGGTCTCGATATTCACCGCATGTTTCCGCACACAGAGGAGAATCTGTCGCTGGAGCACCTGACGCCCGAGCAAAGGGAGGACTTCAAGCGGTCGCTGGTCGACGGCCGCATCAGCGACATGATCACCCCCTGGCAGCCGTGGTGGCTCCAACCCGCATCAGGTACCCACCTACCAGGCCTACTCCCCATTTTTATTTTCTTTCTTTTCGGCCTTCGGCCCGCAGCTTACCGAGGCATGTCGCCCAAAGGTCTGATCGTGCCGGTGGAAACGAAGAGAGAAGACGAAAACGAAAACGAAAGCGAAAGCGAAGACGAAGACGAAGTGGAGGTGGAAGAACGGAAACCGCCATCTGTCCTGCCCGACATACCGCCGCTCTCCACACTACTCAGCAAAGAACCGTCGCCGCTGCTGGCGTTCAACCTTCTCGACATTCTGTACGGCCGCACATACGCGCACACCAAACGAGGGCGGTAACTCACCTTCCGCTCTTCCACTCCTCTGCAGGTTCTCCTATGCGTACGTCATGCGGTACTTTAACGGCGAACCCGATAGCGAGGCCAGCGATGCCGCCTCTTTCCTCGTCGAGATATCGGCCGTCCTCCAGGTTCTGTCTCGCTTGCCCTCCTTCGTCTTCTTTACCACACGCACACACACGCACACACACGCACACGCACACGCACAACACACCGCACGCACGCACACGCACGCACACGCACGCACACCACCTACTGACCGGTCGTCCTGCAGTCGAATGCCGTCCACGAGTCTCCCGACGCCGCCTTCGATGCCTGCCTAGCCAACATTCTCAAGGTGCGGCACAGCACGCCACGCACCGCCCAGACCCCGCGTTAGGCCCACTGCTCACTTTCTTTCGTTCGTTCAGCCTTCGGTGTCGGGGTCGTCCGACTTTGGGCTGGCCGTGGTGGACGACGTCCGACAGATCATCGCACAGAAGCACTTCACGCTGATGGCCCTCTCCGACCTCTACGCGCTGCTGGGCCGTGCGGCCGCCGACCAAATCGCGGCCGCGACGAAAGAGGTCAAGCGGCTGCGGGCCAAGCTGGCGGCGCTGCAGAAGAAAGTGTACTTCTTCGTGGCATGGGCCAACGCCCAGGACGAGCCGCTGTTCCGCGCCACTGCTGCGCTGGTCGAGGCCTACCTCCGCGAGCAGCGCGCCAAGCGACCCGACACCACGACCGCGCCCAGTAGCAGTACCGGTAGCTTGCGACTCCCAACTAAGCTCAGCTGATTCTCAACCGTTTTAATGCAGTTGTGAGCGCATTCCATTGCTTTTCTTCGTTCCCCTCCCTTGTTGCTGTTGTGGTGGTGGCGGCTTGGCGTGGTGGTGGGCGGGGGTGGTGGTGGCGGGTGGCGGGGGCATGCCGTGGGCGATGAGTAGTTCCTGCACGTGCGGCGTGAGGTTCCACTTCCGCTCCCTGGGCGCCGACCCCTTCTTCACCGCGGCCTGGCACCACCGCACACACGACACACGACACACGGACGTCAGAAGTGTGTGTGTGTGTGTCGTGCGTGTCGTGAGTGTCGTGTGCGCACTGGTAACTCGGCGCCGTAGGCGAACAGCCGGCCGAGCACGTCCCGAATGAACCGGGTCCGGTTGTTGTAGCGGCAATTGCCTTCGAGCAGCGCGTCGAGCAGGGCGCCCCAGAGCGGGCCGCGCACCATGTCGGGCTGCCTGGCCAGCAGCAGCTTCACCACCTCCAGCTTCCGCTCGTACGACGTGTAGCGCGATTCGCCCACCAGCTCCGTCAGATACCCCGCCTGCCCGCAGAGTGAGTTCTTTCGTGTGCCGTGTGTGTGGCGTGTGTAGCGTGCGTCGTGTGTCGTGGCGTGTGTCGTGGCGTGTGTTGTGTGTCGTGTGTGGCGTGTGTGTAAAGTACTCTAATAACGGCGCCGTGGTCGAGGAGGCATGAGAGGAGGGTGGGCGACAGGTCGCGGCGGTGGAGGACCTTCTCGACGCACGCGGTCCAGAGCCCTTGCGGGTCGATCGTCTGCGGATTGCTGCCACGCGCGCCGTGTGCGACCAGCAGACACGCGGCCTCGTCGGCCAGGCGCGACCTGGAGCCACACACCGTCTCCAGCAAGTCCGGTTCGTCCACGTCGGCGCCGTAGTCAAGAAGCAACATCACCAGCGCGATCTTGTTAGGACTTTGTGACTGCGCACACGCACACGCACACGCACACGCACACGCACACGCACACGCACACGCACGCGCACGCGCACGCGCACACGCACACGCACACGCACACGCACACGCACACGGTGTGTAAACATCATAGAAAGAGGGGCGGGGGTTGATGGGGGGCGAACACTGCGGCAGGCGACGTCGAGTGGGCTGGACGAGCAGCCCTCGTCGAGGTCGGGCGGCACGCCCAGGTCGAGCAGCGTTCGGGCCATCTCGACGTCCCCACAGCGCAGGGCCAGCATCAAGGGCGACCACCCGTCCAGCGCCGAGGGCCTGCGCAGGTCGGCCGGGCTCAGCAGCGGCAGCAGGGCATGGAAGGCGCTCGTCCAACCGTAGACGCACGCCCTCTCGAACGCTGCGACATCAAAATCATCAAAATCACCAACTGTGTGTTGTGTGTGTGTGTGTGTGTCGTGTGTGTGTTTCCCAGTCCGCCGCACGCGACGTGTGTGGCTTCGGCGTACCGGTGCGCCCCTTGTGGGGCGAGGCCACCACTTCGCGTCTTCGGTTGTCGTCTGCGCATTGCCCGAGGAGGTACAACACCAGCTCCCCTTGATTGCCCTCACCTGCCGCATGCGTGCATGTGTGTCGTATGTGTCGTGTGTGTGTGTCGTGAGTGTCGTTGGTCACATGCGCGTGCGGCGCGCTGCGAGGGAGGACGCACAGGCAGCGTGGAAGGCGGCCTCCATGCTCCCGCCGCTACGGCTGAACGCTTGCTCCAGCGCGCCGCCCACCGATGGCTCGGACCACATCATCAGCTCCTCGCGCCGCGCCATGGCCCGAAACAGCGCCTCGCCCGCGCCCGCGCGCGCCGCCTTGAGCACCACGCACCATTCGACCTCGATGCCGAGCTCGACCACCAGCTCGATCGTGCGTGGGTCGCGGCCCTTCAGCACCGCCAGCATCAGCGGCAGCGTGCGACGCTCGCCGGGCTCGGCCCAGCCACCGGCCAGCAGCCGGGTCACGACCCCACGATCGGGCGAGGGTGGGGCCACGAGTCGGCGCAGCGCGGCGTGGTGGCCGCAGGCGAGGATCCACTCCAGCAGGCGTCGGCGTCGGGCGCGGCCGGCGAGCCGGCGCCGGGTGCGGAGACAGGAGAGGCACCAGGTGCGCCACGAGGCCTCGGGTTTGGGCTGGAGCTTCGTCAAGGCCTTCATCTCCGCCGGCATAGGTCCGCCAAAGTGTTGCTCGTACCACTTGGTTGACAGGTGGCATCAGCCGCACATCTCACATCCGACACACAACGACACGCACGGCACACGCGACGACACGACACGCACGGCACGACCAAGAGGGTGGATGGGGTACGGTGCGCCAGAGGGCGGTGCCGTGGGGGGAGCCGGGGCCAGTGATGGCGCGCCACTGGCGGCAGGCGGCCTCGGCGCGCAGGAGCGACTCTGGACCAAGCCAGCGGAACACCTCCAGCACCACCTCCACGGGCAGGCGCAACACCGAATGCTCCTCCGCGTGCTCGGCGAGCTCCATTTTCTCTTCAAATAAACTAAAGTTGTCTCTTTCTGTGCTGGTGCTCTTTTGTCTGAAATTGTCTGTACGCAGAGGAAAAATCCCAAAAGACAAACCAGTCCGACATAAAAGGAGGGCCCAGCAAAAGTGGGACAGACCCACTTCGGCGCAAAAGGGTGGTGGTTGCGTTATGGGCTTTTGGGGGTTTTTAGTTTTTCATTGTTTTTGGTCTTTTTGGGAGGGTTTCTGATTTTTTTTTGTTTTTCGACCATTTTCTGATTTTTTTGTGGCTTTTTGTGTTTTGTTTTGTTTCAGTTCGATGAAACCCGTCAACAGTAGCACCAACCCCACTCATCGCTGCTGCTCTCCACCTCTTTTCTTCCAAGGTCTGGTGCATCACCGCCCACATTGTGGGCACCCTCCAGAATGCCACCAGAATAATTTGCAACCCTGTTCAGTGAACAAAGCACCGTTCGTCTGCGTTGTCACGTTTCGTGGCGCCGCCAGGCGCAGTTTTCGGCCAGTTTCACGATTCAGGAAATGGGGACAATGGTGGAACTGGCCGAAAAGGCAGTGCAAGTCGTGGCCAAAACGGGAATCGCTCCGACCAAGCAATAACAGAAAGGACCGAAGCAGCTTCCCCCGAACCGCGTTTTAGAGGTCCCACACGGGTGTCTCTAGCTCCCGGGTGCATAGCAACGAAGCCGTCCTAGCGCACGATGTATATATTAGGTAGAGGAATAGTCCCCTTGGCAACAACAAGCCGTCCTAGCTCAGTCGGTAGAGCGCAAGACTCTTAATCTTGTGGTCGTGGGTTCGAGCCCCACGGTCGGCTATCTCCTTTTTCTTCTTTGCTCTTCGCCTGTTGTGTCCCACTGCAGCACAGCTGGCCAGTTTTTTAGCACTTCCTGACACCTCATGGCGCTATCTTTACAGGTCAAGCAGCACCAGCAAGCTACGAAAGCCGCCACTTCGGCCAGGTTAGGAGAGCAGAATCGCTTGATGGCGGCTGTGCAAGGACGGAGGATCCAAGTCTCCATCAATGTCGCGCGTCCGCTGTTCGACAAGCTCATCGCAACGGAGCCGCCCTACTAAGGTAAGTGCGCTCTTCCTTCTTGAACCCAGCTCAACGCAGTACTCACACTGTTAATGGACGAACGAACGTTCGATCAGGGCGGGCGTCAAGGCCGACGAGGCTGCACAGCGTCGAGGGACATCAGAAAAAACGCTCAACACAGGCCGCAACCAGTTTTGGCAGGAGTGGTTGTATTTGAAGCTGCCTAATGATCTATCTACTATGTACAAGAGAGTCTCTCCTTTCAAAAGCACTTGCGATGAACAATCGAGGGACCAGACTCATCGTACTCCTCTCGGGAGATCCACATCTCCTGGAAGGCGGAGAGCGAGGCCAGGATCGAGCCACCAATCCACGCAGAGTACTTGCGCTCGGGTGGGGCGATGACCTTGATAGTGGCCGTTTCCGGCGCCAGGGCCGAGAGCTCCTTGTGCATGCGCTCGGCGAGGCCGGAGAACAGCGTGGTGCCGCCCGACAGGACCACGTTGCCGTAGAACACCTTCCTGATGTCGACATCGCACTTCATGATCGCGTTGTAGGTGGCCTCGTGGATGCCGGCCGACTCCAAGCCCAGGAACGAGGGCTGGAACAGGTCTTCGGGCGCGCGGAATCGCTCGTTGCCGATGGTGATGACCCGGCCGTCGGGCAGCTGGTACGGCTTCGAAACGTTGGGGAGCATCATCTCCTGCTCGAAGTCGAGGGCGACATAGCAGAGCTTCTCTTTGATGTCGCGCACAATCTCGCGCTCGGCAGCGGCAGCGGTTGCGGTGATCGCAGCCGAGCCCCTCTCGGCAAGGAGCTGGGCGAGGTGGTCGGTCAGATCGCGCCCAGCGAGGTCGAGGCGGTGGATGGCGTGGGGCAGCGCGTAGCCCTCGAAGACAGGCACTACGTGGGTGACACCCGCACCGGACTCAAGCACGATGCCGGTGCCACGGCCCGAGGCGTAGAGTGAGAGCACGGCCTGCACGGCGACGTACATGGCCGGGACCGCGAAGGTCTCGAACATGATCTGCGTCATCTTCTCCCGGTTGGCTTTGGGACCAGGCGGGGCCTCTGTCTGGTGGAAAAACCCACAATAATTTTATTAAATATAATATAAATTTTATTAATAAATTAATACTAAAAATAAAGTAGAAGCAGATTAGGTTAAAAAAATGAATTATAATAAAATAGCAAGCAGCTGCGCACCAGAAGCACGGGGTGCTCTTCAGGGGCAACGCGGAGCTCATTGTAAAAGGCGTGGTGCCAGAGCCTCTCCATGTCGTCCCAGTTGGTGATGATACCATGCTCGACGGGGTACCTGAGCGTCAGTGTATCGCCCTTGGCCTGCGCCTCCTCGCCGACGTACGCGTCCTTCTGGCCCATGCCAACCATCACACCAGTGCGGCGCGGGCGACCGACGATCGAGGGGAACACGGCGCTGGGGGCTTCCTCGCCGGCCATGCCAGCCTTGCACGTGTCTGAGCCGTTGTCGATGACCACCGCGTCTGCCATCTTGATGCCGTGTTGTTGGCCTCTAGAGGTGGAAACGTCAATTACTAACCAACATGTTTTGAAAGATAAGCTCTGTTTTCTTTTCAAGCACCACGCTGCCCCAAGACGATGAAGCGCTGGTTGGTGCGGAAGTAGTCGCCAGCGGCGTCTGAGGAGCTCGAGCAGGTCCTCGGCGGCTGCCCGCTCGAGAATGCCCTTGCTGATGGTCATCTCCATGAGCGCCTTGGCCTTCACGAAGCCCGGGTCCATGTCCTCCGAGTCGCCTTGCATGTGCGAGCCGGCGTCGATCTTGATCGCCCAGGGCGCGCATCTTGGCGTACATGGCGTTGAGGCCGAGGCTGCGGTTAAGTTGCACCAGTTCATTCTCCACCTTCTCCAGGCCTTGCACCAGTACCGGGTCTACATATGTTCCACCCCGGGGTAGTGGTGATTGTGTGTAGTGTGCGTGGTACGTGTGCGCGTGTGCGGTGGTGCGTACCGGAGGAATAGACGCGTGTGCGCGTGTCCATGTCAGCTTGGCAAATGACGAGCCGCCCTCCGGGCTTTAGTACGCCGTGGAGCTCGACCAGGGCCTTCTCCACGTCAGGTGCTGCATGACTAGGGTCAAGTAGGCGCCGTCGAACGACTGATCGGGGAACTGCATCGCCGTCACGTTCCCCTCCTCGACCGACAGCTTCTCCTTGTCGCTCCCTACCGCGTCCTAAAAAGGAAAGAGTTGTGTGTCGTGTGTTGTGTGTCGTGTGTCGAACCTGGAAGCCGGGTTGAAGTCGAGGCCCACCACCTCTCCCTCGACGCCGGGGTGCTGTACAGGGTGCCACCGGTGGAGGAGCGAAGGAGTTCGTCGGGGAGGAGCCACTCCAATACGCGCCGCTTGCCCTCCACCAGGACCGGCGCCTCGTTGATACGCTGAAGAAGAAGCAGAAGGACATGACACAATTAAGAATCTGCTTGTGCGGAATATAACGCTACCTTGAGGTGTGCAGCAAGGTCGATGGGGGCGCTGTTGCCCTTCCACACATCAGAAGGGCGCTCAGTCTCGTTTTGTTGTGCGCTCGCCATGTTGTTGGTTTGCTTTTGCTTCACGGCCCAGCAAAGAACCAACGTTGCGGCCACATCGTCCATGGCGAAAAAGAATGAAAGAAAACGCAGCCCTCTTCGCAGCAGTTGCGTACAAGAGCCGACGTCGATCATCACCTTGACGAACTTCGCCTGTGCATTTTATGGAAGGAGGTCTGGGCCTACGATACCAACTCAAACTTCTCTGCGAGAGTCTCCGGAGGACCCTGATGGTGGCGCACACACGAAGTCGTCAGACATCATGACGGGAACCACAACGTCTAAAATAGAGTGGTGGGGTGGGGCGAGGTCTCACCTGGGGAGGCATGCCGGGCCAGATGACGTGGCACACGTCACCGCCGGGGCCGAAGGGGAGGGATCGGTCCTCGAGGTTGTGGTGGACGTGGAAGAGATCGGGCCGGCGGTAGTAGGCCATGGTGAGGAGCGTCTCCTCTGTGCCCAAACAGCCTGTTGTGAACCGACACAGAAGAAATAGAAATAGATGAGGCCGGCCCTTGGAGCCGGAGCAACACAACACCTCGCCCAAGCCCAAGGAGATGGCTGGTAGTACCAAGGTCGAGCGTCTTGTTCAAGATGTACTCGTAGAGGGCGGACACCTTCTCGAGGGACTTCCTTTGTCCACCCATCGTCCAGCCTGTGTGTCGTGTGTATGTCGTGTGTGTGTGTGTGTGTGTGTGGACGTAAGTGTGAATGGCAGATCACAGCAAAACCAACAGCTAACTTGTTGAACGCAAACGGCAGTGCTGTACCCTTGGTGATGAAGCAGGGCGGTTGGTCAAAGGTGAGCTTCTGCATGGCCTCGCGGTAGCAGCCGTGGAGCTCGTGGCTCATCGCGTAGGGCGTAACCGCCATGAAGAATCGGTCCAAGTAGTGCCTGTAACAAATACCACTCCATTAGGCTAACGTCGCTATCTAGTAGTCACAAGCACGCACACGCACGCACACGCACACGCACACGCACACGGCGTGGTACGCACTTGACTTTGGTCTTGAAGTCGGGAATGGACATGCCATAGTCGGGGTTGATGCGGGGCGTGCAGATGCCGCCCGAGTCGAGCCACACGAAGTACTTGGTCTTGAACGGGTTGAGCACAGAGAGATCGCGCAGCCACAGAAGCTTGTGCATGACGATGGGATTGTAGAGGTCGCTGTAGCCCTGGGGCACGTTGGCGAGCCACGGCGTGGCGGGAATCCACCACGGCGAGTTGCGGATGATCTCGATGCTCTCGTAGTGCTTCCAGGTGCGCAGATCTTCGATCTCGATGAATCGCACGTCGACGCTGTCGTAGAGATGATCCTTGATATAATCG